ATCTGCCAACTTTTTTTTAAAGTCCAACTAATTGAGGTGTAATTTACACACAGGAATGTTCACCCTTTTGGAGCAAAGTTCCTGCCATTCTGAACGACATGTTTAGGCCCCAGATCAAGATATGGAGCAGCGTGATCAACCCCAAATCCCCCCCCCCCCCCCCCCCAAGTTCCCTGTAGCCAACCTCTTACCCGACGCCCAGCCCCGACAACCAATGAACTGCCTTGGGTCCCAGCAGTTTCGCCGTTTCCGGAACACCCGTGCGCATGGAAGCCCAGAGAAGATTGCGCCTTGAGCAGAGCTCCTTTGACTCTGTGGTTGCCCTTGGAGGTCCATGCCCGGCGTTGTGCTGGTCAAAAGTCTGTTCCCCGTTGGGGACTCTCAGAGTCCCACTGTCCGCACGGACCGCGGTTTGTGTATCTGTCCTTCCCTTCTTGTCACCTGGGATGTGCCCAGGCTTTGACAACCACAAATAAAGCTATTTGCTTACAGATTTTTGTGCGCACCTTATTTTTGTTTCTCTTGGGTATGTACGTAGGAGAAGATGGCTGCGCTGTATTTGCACATGACATATATCTGACCTTATCAGGGGCTGTTCATTTCATAAAGACAACATCAAAGAAGCTTCTGGACAAGGGCACGAAAGGAAGATGCAAACATTTCACCTCCAAGTGGTTTCATCTGTGTTTTGCTTTCCTGTTTATTGGCTTTAGAGAGAGAAGGTGGGGGGAGGGGGAGAGAGACATCGTTTTGTTGTCCTACCTATTGATGCATTTGTTGATTGATTCTGGTACCTGCCCTGACCAGAGGCTGAACCCGCAACCTTGGCGTATCAAGACTATGGTTACCGACGGACCTCCCTGGCCAGGGTTCCCCTGTGCTTTTCTCGAACCTGCTGGATTTTCTTTGTCAATGTGGTATCCAGCTGCCTCTGCGGGCGGCAACGATTTTGTCCAACAACTATTTATAAAATTCACCCTCCCTCCCATGACTCAGTCTCTAAGTTCAGAGACCTTAGAAAACAAAAGGAGAAAAAAAATCACCTAACTTCTGACAATGAAATATAGTTTCCAAAGAGAGAGGGGGAGGGACAGCCTTTTGAAAATTGCAATCTGCTATTATTTTGTAACTAGACAGCTGTGTGTTATTTGGGGGAAATGGGAACTCTTGCTGGTCTGAGCACAAGGCGTGAAGGCAGGAGGAGTTTTCTGCCATGTTTTGGGATGTTGCTGGGTGGGCGAACTCTGAAGTTATTTCCTGAGGGAGAGGAATTACTTCCTCTTAGAAAGCCCAGGGGGTTTGGAGTTGGAGGCGCTGGATTTGAGTGGCCCGTGCCCCTTTTTGGTCTAAAACGTCCTAGGAGGCCACTGTGGAGGGCACATTACAGCCTCTACAGACACCCACAGCTCCGTGCCCTGAGGCTGCGATGTCGCCTTCCATGGCAAAAGGGACTTCGAAGATGTGACTACGTTCCGAAACCTGCAGTGGGGAGATCATTCTGGATCACACCATGGGCCCCATCAAATCGCGGGAGACAGGAAGGAAGAGGTAGAAGAAGCAGGCTGTTAGAAGGCCAAGACCCGAAGGAGATACCCTGCCAAGAAACCCCAGGCTCTCCACCCGGAAGGCCAGTGAGACCCCCTGGGAGCTCTGACCTCCGGGCGGTCAGAGGATACTTGGTCTGGAGGCACTAAGTGTACAGAAACCCCTGAGAGCCGCAGTCTGAGCTCTCCGAGACTCAGCTTCCCTCCTTTGTAAAATGAAGCAGATCCCACGGCATCTCCTCAACCACTTCCCAGGTTGCTATGGCAACTGGGTGAGGTCATCTCTGCAAATGCTTAGGAAACTATAAGAACACTGTGTTACATAGGAAAAGCAAAGAGTTGCTATCACCTTAGTTCTGTCTTTGCATACCTTATAGCGTCTGCTCCTATCAGGACACATTTAATTTTACTGAGTTCTTCCGATGACCTTTACCCTTCCTGAGCAGGTGATGCGCTGAGTCCCCAGGCATCTCTGCTATGTGAGAATCCATCAAAGTTTCCTAGGAAGAAGTTAACAAGCTCTGTGTGGAATCTGGAACCACACAGTCTCCTAGAAACCAGGGTCAGCAAACTTTCTGCAACAGGCCAGATAGTAACCGTTAGTGATGATTTGGGGGAGGGCGCTATCTCAGCCACCTAACTGCTGTTCCATAGCTGTCACCAGTGAAGGACCCTGCATTCCAGCCTGCATCTGCCCCCTCAGCAGGAAGGTCCCCCACAGGGATTTTGGGGGAGGGGGGGTGCGCGCACTTGCATGGGGAACCCCCACAGCTTTGCGGTCACTAACCACCAACTGAAAATGTAGCATTTCTGACAAGGATGAACCTAGAGAATGAGTGGCAGTAGCATTAACAGTATCTGTCATGTGTTACCACTTGGTCCCCAGCAGATGTCTGCTACACTTTCCCAGCAGGCCACAGCCGGAGCAGGTTTTGCTTACCCTCCTCCTTTCTCTAAAAGGCAGAGGTTACCCGAATCCCTTCCAGAGCTCACCGCGCTGGAAGTGCTGAAAAGGAAGCAGAGGTCTGATGCAATTAGAATCCTGGAAACATCTGATAACCACTTAAACAGAACTGGGGGTCTGTGTGGTCCTATGTACTATTCGACATATTTTTTGGCATCATTTTATGCATTTCGAAACAACAGTCACTAAACCACCAAAGAAGGTCTCGGGCCTGGAGGTGGCTACAAAGCCCCGCCCTCAATTTTTTTTTTTTTTTTTAAAGCACTTGGGGCCAGTCTTCTCCGAATACTAGAGATAAAAGTGCCTGTCCTCCAGTCTTACTGGCAGGATCAAGTTTAATACTGTGGGGGCCAGTATCAGAGCTCACCTGCTTTCTTAGTTACTGAAGAACAGCTGCAGTTTGCAGTGAGGATTTCCATCCGTTTCCCATATTTTAAATGATTGGCATCTGCCAAATAATCAAAACATACAAAGGGGCCTTTCACCAACTTCAGTTCGGAATTTCCAAGCAGCTAACGGCCAGCCGGGCTGGCAAGGCCGGAGGGCCACATTTTCCTTATTTATTTATTTATTTATTTTTGCCTTGCGCAGTTACTCGAGAGTGTGCGGTAGCCGAGAGCCGCGTCCGGGTACAGCCGAAAGCTGTATTGCTGTCAACTTGTTATTTACTTTCCAAATCTGAATGACTGAGCAAGGCGAAAGGAGAATCAATCAACCACAATGTGACCCTACAGGCGGAAAAAACGCCGCGCTGCCATCAGCAGGCGGTGGGGGAAGGGAAGCACGTGTAACCGGGGCAGGGTTGCATCATGAGCTCGCTCGGGTTTTCTATTGCACCCTTGGTTTTTCGGTTGCATGTAATACCTCTCAGCATCAGCCCGCTCAAGCCCAGGGAGCCCCGGAGCAACGAAGGGCAGGCTCAAGGGAAGGCCCCACCACGTCCTTTTGGGGGGCCTTGAATGGCAACTGATAGATAATGACCCAATCTATTCTGCTGATTCACAAGTATGGAGACTGTGTAAGTGTGTATTTTTTATTGATGTGCTCTATGATAATGGTGTAGCAACAGTCGTTTTACATCATTGACGTTTTACAGCAATCTATGGCAGGGTAGTGTTTAGGTCCGCCTTTCTGATGGAGGACCAGCCCCTTAAAAACTCACCTCGGGACCCCTCCCCCCAGCAACAAGAACAACAAATGGTTCCGTGTCCCAGAAAAGAGCAAGTGAGGTTACAGTTTGAAGTGCTGAGTGTACTGGGCTCTTAGCGCGAAGCTCAGTAGACACCAAAGGGAGGGGCCAACTTATTTAAAATATTCAACAAAGCCGACTCCGAAGGTGCGGGGCGGGGTGGGGTGGGGGGGGCGCGGATATCTGTTTAATTGATTTGAGGCCGTCAGGGGTGGGTAGTTGTCACCGAACTGGAGGGGAGGAAGGGACGCTGGGGACTCGAGTGCTCCAGGGCTGGGCCGGGTCGGCCATTGCAACATAAAAACGCTTTGGAAATGCCCGAGGTCTGACGCCCGTGGGTGGGGGTGGGGATAAGGGTGGGGGGGAGGCTCTCCCCACCCCCCGGAGCCCCCCACACCCCAGCTCCTGGCCTCCACCCGTGTGTCGTGTCTGAGCTTCTGTCTCCCTAAGCATTGCTGGCTCTAACCAGGAGGTGTTTTGCAAACGTGGAGGCCCCCACTTTGGGGGGAGGGGGAGGGCCCATGGGGGTGCCCTCCAGGCCGCCGATTTTGAGGGCGTTTCCTCCTCGGAAGGGTTGCGGGGGTTTCTGTTAGGGCAGTTGGGCGGCTTTCTCTTTGAGGTGGGGGAGGGAACACTCCAGGACTGGCCCGGGTCCCTCTGCGCGGTGGAAACCTTGGGGGTGGCGGCCCGGGTTCCGGTCCCCTCGGGGCAATGGGGGAAAGGCTGGGTTTGGGACTGGGTGGGGGTAGGCCCACATTCCCGTCCTGGCCCCTGGAGACCACGGGAAGGGACAGGGATCGGAGCAAGTAGGCAAAGGTCCGGGTTCCCCTCACCCACTCTAGGCGTGGGGGGCAGGGATGAGCTTGGGGCGATGGACCGGGCAGGGTCCCAGGTCCCCCTAATGTTGGAGAGGGGCTGGGTTGGGCCGTGGGTCCTCCCCAGGGGCCTTGGGGGGAGGTGCTGTGCGAAGGCGCGGACTCTCTTCCCAGTCGCGTGGGGGAGGGGCAGGCCTGGGGTCCCTATCCTCCGTGGGGGAGGGGCTGGCTTGGGACCTGGCCCCCCGGGGCGTAGGGGCGGGGCCGATGGGGACGCGGGGGCCCCCTCCCCGGGTGGGGGGGGGTTCACGGGAGGGGCGGGCCGGGGCGGGAGCGGCGGCCCCCTTGGCAGTCCTCCCGGCCGGGGTCGGCGCTCTGGCGGCGGCCGCTCCCCCCGGAGGTCACTGCCGGTGCCGGTCCCTCCCGCCGTCCCGCCCTCTGTCGCCGCCGCCGCCGCTGCCGCTCCCGCCCCGGCCCCCCCCAACTCTCCGCGCTCGGGAGCGAGGAGCCGCCAGCGCCCCCGCCCCGCCGCCGCCGCAGCGCCTCGGCCGCCATTCGGCACCGAAACTTTCCAGCGCCCGCGCCTCTCGGGACTCGGCGGCGGCGGGCGGGGGCGGCCCGGGGGCGGCGCGCGGCTGCTCCGGGGCGCCGGGCCCTCCTCGGCCGCGGCTCGGCCCGGCTCGGCGACGGCCGGCCGGAGGGAGGCTCGGGCGCGGCGGCGCCCCACAAGTTGCCCTGCCTGCGGCGAGGTGAGTGAGCGGGGCCGGGCGGGCAGGAGGGCGCGTGGCGGGGGGCGCAAACTCCCCGGGCGGGGGGCCTCGCGGGCGGCTCCGGGAGCCCGCATGCTCCGCCTTCCGCCGGGGCTCTAGAGGGTCAGGTCCCCAACTGTCGCCGGGGCTCGGGCTGGGGTGCGGCGCGCTCCCTGCAGGCTGAACAATACCCCAATGTGGCCGCTCCCCAAAGTGCCGGCGCGTGGGGCGCGGGCGGAGGCCGGGGAGGGCTCCTTTGTTTTGGGGAGGGGAAGGCGGCCGGTTAAGTTTGGGGAGGCGCTGGATCTGCCCCCTCGGCCCCCTTTGTCTGCCGCCCCTGGGGCGAATCTGCTGCGCTGCGGGCGCCCCCGTGGGGGAGGGGAGTCCCATTCATCCCTGGGCGCCTGCCGGCCCGCCCCGGACCCGGTGGCTGCGCGGCGGCGCGCGGTGGAGAGAGTGCCGGGCGAGGCCCCGGGGCTGCTGTGTTTCCGAGGCGCAGAAACTGTCAGGGAAGTCGGGAGCCCGCGGGCTCCGGCGAAGGGAACGGGCTGGGCACGACCTCGGAGGGTCGGGGGGCGCCGCTGTTCTGGCGCGGCTCGGGAGGGTGCAGACCTGTTGCTCGCGGGCTCGGGGCAGGGCTGACCCCCGGATCCACTCCCCGGGCCCTGCTCCCGAGGGGACTTCACCCGTTGGGGCCCAGTGCTCTGAACGGGGTGTGGGGTGGGGGGAGGGGTGGATGTGTCTTCGGGCGCCGGTGGCCGTGGGGTATGTCCCCATTTAGGGTCGGCCGAGGCCCGCCCGCGCTGGGATGGGGCCTGGGCTTCACGTGCGCGAGTCACACTCCTTGCACGGCCTCCCGTTCTCCCACCCAAGCGCGTTGGCAATTCCATAAAGTTAATGGGTCGGAGGTGCTTTTTCGCCCGGTTGGTGATGTCGTGGAGCAGAACCCCAAAAGAAACAAAAACCCAGCTCCTGTCGCCTCTGCAACTGTCGCTGCTTTGCCTGACCGATCACATGCGGCTTGACCTGGCTTCTGGGTGCTCTTCTGTCCCGACGCGCAGCCTGAATCCGTGGTTCCGCCCGGAGGTGGAGGGGCGGGACTCCAGACGGGGCTCTGGACCCCGTCCAGACGGGGCTCCAGACGGGGGTCCAGAGGGACGGGGGCGCGGGGCTGAGGTCCCCAGCCTGGGCCGCCGGGTACAAGTGCCGCGGAGGATTTTATGCAAAGTTTACAATTAGTCGTTTTTAGAAAAGACACGATTAGGAAGGGGGAAAAAAAAAAAGAACGTTGAGTAGGGAGCAAGGAAGACCTTGAGGTGATGTTTTTATTGAAAGGATAGGCATGTGTCAAATGCGCTGCAGATTTTAGTGGAAAACCACCGAGCGGGGATAACTGATCAGGAATAAACCTGAAGTTCATCCCTTGACCCACTTATTAAAATGGCCCCTCGAGGGCATTGCCGGGCAGAAGGGAACACACCTGCGTGGCAGAAACGGCGATTTTCGGTGTTTCATCGGGTGGTGTGTATTTTGCCCCCGTGGTGGGCTCAGTCATTTCGGCCATCGGTCGGTCGTTTTAAAGAAGAAAGGATGATAAGGACGGTCCCCTTGTGGAGATAGCGCAAAGCACATATTTCAGAATTGGGGGTCATTTCATCAGTTGGATCCTTCGCTCGAACAGAGTCTCTGGGAGGCGTTCCTCCCTTTGCGATGCCTGGGTAAATACTCATGAACAAATGTCGCCAGGGGCTCTGTCAGGCCCGCAGGACACACCGGGAGCAAGACAGGCCACGCAGAGAGGACAGTGGGGCCTGGGAAGGGGCCGCCCCCAGCAGCGGGGCAGGCCTCCCTGAACCCGGAGGGCTGGCCCTGCACTTCGAGGCAGGCCTTGTCAGCACCCCAGCTTCAGTTGCCCAGGTGGGTCCCCGACTCTCCCACGCTCGACCCCTCCCGGAAGCCCGGGGGATTGGGAAGGGGTCGTGCGCCCTGTCTTCGCGGCTCTGGTGTGTTGTGGGCCTGGAATCGCCTTTCTGTGCCAGAGCTGCAGTTCAGTCACCTGTGTGATACCACACTGAGCCAGCCCCCGGGGCTGCGGGGAGAGTTCCCGTGCAGCCCCCAGGGTGGGACGCAGAGCCCCAGGTCCCAAGTCCATTAAGACAGGTGACACCGGCCTAGCCCCGCAGCCCGGGACCTCCCTCCCGGGCCGGAACGAGGGAACCCGGAAACGGGACTGCCCGTCCAGGACCTGCTCGATCCCGTGGCCCGTGACGCCCTGCCCCTTTCTGAGGGCCGTTTTCTGTGCATGGGAAACCATCACGCGGAGCAGACACCGAGGTCCTCGCTGGGCAGTGTGAGCATAGCAGGAGCCCGGAGACCTGAGTTTTGGGAAACTATTACGAAGGCGCCTGTAAACTAGCTGTTGCTCGTCTGCACACAGAATAAGCGCGTGCACGGTACCCGAATGCCGGGTCCCGAGGAACGTACAGGCCCTAGCACCCTCTGGGAAGCAATGATTGTTTCCTGTCTGCAGCCAAGGCCCACTGCGGAACGATGCTAACGGACCTGCCGATACCTGCGTAGGACGCGCTGGAGCATCTTTCCATTCCCGGAGCGCAGCGCGTAAGTGTGGCCTTGTCCTGCCTTCCTGACTGGCTAGTGTGAATTTTCCCATTTGGAGACAAAAGCCCTTTACGTTACACAGACACACAAGCCCGGAATCTTCATTCAAACCTGGATGTACGTAGAAACCCCTCTCAACAGACTCAGGAAATGCCTACCACAGTTAAGCGATGGCTTCTCTCTGGCTTCGTTGTCCTACGTGGTAGCCATTAAACACGTGCACGTATTTAGATTGAAATTAGCTAAAATTCCGTGACAAGAGGAGTTCTGTCTTTTCAGTCGTTGGAGCCACAATTCCCGCATTGGATGGCGCACGTGGTTAGCTGCCACCATATTGGATAGCACCGAACTGACAGAGAGCTCTGTGGGAGGGTGCTCCTCTGTCGTGACTGCAATGATACATTAATAAAGGAAACAATATGGCCCTGGCCGGGTGGCTCAGTTGGTTGGAGCGTCACCCTGTACACCGAAAGCTTGCAGGTTTGATCCCCGGTCAGGCCACGTGTGGCAGGTAGTCAGTCGACATTTCGCTTACATTGATGTTTCTATGCCTTTCCCCCTCTCTAAAAATCCATAAACATATCCTCAGGTGAGGATTTAAAAAAAAAAAAGAAAACAATAGTGTTTTGTTGGGGGAAGGAGGCAGGCCATAAAAGTTTCAAGTACTTGACAGGTGGACCTTAAGGGAAAAAAAAATACCCTGAATTTCAGGCAGCAATTTACCCTCGATAGTGATTTCAGAGAAGGGACTCTTAACCCGAAATTGGTAGCTGTGGTTGGGGGAGGTGCTTCACATTAATTTTGAATCATAAAGCCAGGTCTCTCAGGCGCACGCCCTCACTGCTTCACCTTGGCTATCGCGTGTCTTCGTGCCTCAGTTCCCCCACCTGAAACACGGCGCACTCGGTCCCCACGTGCCTGCCTGAGCAGAAGGTGGCGAGCGTGCCTTGGGACGGTCAGAGCCCCGACGGTCACCGTCCTTGAGGCCCGCGTGGGTGACCGCATGTCGGGCTCCATCAGCGGTGTTTCAGCCCTTGCTTGCTGGGGTCCCCCGGGGCTCCCTTCCTGCCCTGGAAGTTCAAGTCCTAAGTATTAAGGTCCAGTCACTCGCTGTCAAAGCCTTTTGTACAAAAATGCTGACAAGGCATCCTTCCAACAAAGTGGGGCTTCACGAGAGTCTAAAAAAAAAGAGCAAGCCAGAGCGCTGTTTCCTGTCCTACCAGGTCCCTGAGTCAGGATGTTATTTTTATTACCTTTGCATAGTTGTGTGTGTGTGTGTGTGTGTGTTTTGAGAGCAACAGGTTAGAAATTTTCTTTGTAAATGAGGATGGAGGAAGGACCCACTTTTGCGTCTGCCAGTGGGGTGAGTCCCCAGGTCACCCTTGTGCCATTGGCCCCCACTTTCGCGTCCTCCCAGCACTCTGGGGGACCTTTGGTGGAAGGGTTTAACCCCCTGGACTGTCCGAGATTCTGTTCCAGGGGTGGGAAGAGGGTCCTGCGGAGGGCAGCCAGCCCTGGAGACGCCGTGCCGCGCAGGGGTCTCCCTGTGGGGTGGGCAACACCCGGCTCGAACCTGGAGCTGCCCCTTTGCCAGGGACACTCCGTGGCGTTTGCCTGGGGCCTCCCTGTCCTGGGCCTCCTCGGGCCTTGCCAGGCCAAAGCCTGAGTCTGACACCAGTCACAGCTGCTCTGTGTTGGTTGGGGGGAGCCCGGCCCAGCTGTGGGGTCTTCCTACCCCGTCTTCGCCCCTTCTCCCCGACCAGAGTTAAAAAAAAAAAGGACGCTGCATCCAAGAAGTTAAAATTTTACCCCCAAAGACGTTTTAAAAATAGTTTGAATCAGGAAGCAAGACGACAGTCATTTTGTAAACACTTTTTTTTGACGTTGGAAAGATAAACATTTTTTTCCGTCACTATTTTTAGCAGGAAGGAAGTCACTGGCCTCGGAGCGGAGACTGGATGTGACCGTCCCCTCGGGTGCTGCCTTCCTTGGCCTGCCTCTGCCTCCTCCCCGTGGGGCGGACCACGTGCCCCGCACTGGCCGCAGTGGCAGGAGCAGAGCCACCAAAACTAAACTAAAACACAGGCTGGGAGTGGGAAGGGGCTTCCAGAGTCAGCCTGTTGATAGTGGAGAAGGAGGGCGTCGTCTGGGAGAGTGTGGAATCCCGAGGGAAGAACGCGGCCGTTACGGAACGGGCGCTGGGCGCGGCGTCTTGACCAGGGGACGAGCCTGAAGACGGGCGTTCCCGTGCCGGCCTGCGCAGCGCCCTCGCCGCCCTCAAATAGGGATGCGGAGCCCGAGGCCTGATTGAAGAGGGAGGCCCGCACTGGCAGCCCCGACGCGCACACTGACTTGGAACCAATGTAACGTTCACGCGGGAG